GAGCTACAGTCTCTAGAGGGCACACAAACAAAACGTTCCTGACTTCACATGTATTATTCTGCTTGACGCGATGTTTACTTTGTGTCACCCAGTCAGTGACCGTATTTTGTAACAGAGCGAAGCTGAAACACAACCCTCAGGCACAAAACTATCAGGTGACTTCTGAGTGCCATTAAAAGTCCTGACACGAACTCATGTGAACTCAACACTACTTTGTCTAACGAAGCATGCGTTAGATCTTTCCACATTTTTTTCTTGTGATCTGATAGACAAAGGGTGTCGTCACATTCGCCGTATGAATTTGATATCACAATTTTAAGCAGGCTTTCATAGAACAAACCGCCGACCAGGAGTGGAAGACGCTTTTTCCTTACCAAGACAGCTGAATAATAATAATAAATGGTTTAGTGGCCAAACATCACCCGTCGCAACCTTATAGTGCTGAACTGATGCAGGGTTTACAATCACATAACACAGATGGTAATAATACACATAATAATACACATAATACACGTGATACATATTTGTTCCACCTACATTTTGGCGGAACTGTCGCAAGGGTCTGTGCGGCTGCCATTCGGCGCCACAAGGTGACCTCAATACGACTTTCCCCAACCGAAGTTAGGAACCGATTCACATCTGGGTGGAGTGTGGAAAGTCGTGTAAAGTGCCTTTCCCAAGGGCTCAACGTCGGGGCGCATGTTCAGACTCGGGATCGAACCTGGGTCTCCCGATTCACAGTCGAATAATCTACCATTACGCCATAAAATCTCTAAAGGGTACATGTACGACTAACCGGAGATCTGTCTCAGTTTGTGCTCGTACAGGGATGTGACTTGGTGAATTTCTTGAATCTTATCTAGCTAACCCCCACCCCACCCCACGCAAACACAAACACACCACTGTTGAATAGTAACTTCTGCTTTCTCTGCAAGTTTAGAATGAGGCCCTATCATTGTTACGGAGAGAAACTATTTGCCATGTCTATTTACCCCCAACCGCGCTTTATAAACTCAGGATGGTTTCGATAAGCCTTGAAAAATATCAATGAAAGCTTAACAATACACACGGTTTTGTTACTTTCAACTTTAGAAAAGAGATAACCGGCAAGTACAAGTTTAACTGAAGTCAGTGAACCCTTACAATGGCCACAACACGCCATGCTTAAAGAATTCCCAAGTACCTTAATTACACAAACATTTGGAAGTGATTTAAATGCTTCATTGGGGTAAAGTGACGATTGTTAGTCTTAAAACTGCAAATATAGTGAAAATCGCCAGCAAGATTCCACAAAAAGTGGTGAACGAGTGGTGAGAAGTTTTCTTTGTGACGTGAATGTGGGATTGAATGTATGAAGGGGAACTCCCCTCCAGGTATCAGGTTGCGACGCTACGCAGCACAAATTCGGGGGCTGGAGTCGAGGAGGAAGTAATTTTTTTGCGCACTCGGAGGGAAAGAATTGAGCAGTGCTTCGCAAGGAATGTACGTAGGACAATGTCGGCGTGCTTCTGTGTGTCACTTCTGATCATCTTCTTCTGCTGCCTGTGCTGCTCTGGGCAGGTCCGCGCAACGTTAGAGGGGTAAGTCGGTCCCTTTTCATGTAGACAGTACTTGTGGGGTCGTGTGGCGTAGCGGCAGAGTGCGCGACTCGGAACTAAGAGTCCCGGGTTTGAGTCCTGACATGCCACCGATCTTGTGCCCTTGAGAAAGGCACTTTACAGGACTTTCCTCACTTAGCTCAGGTGTAAATGAGTATTGTCCTGTCATGTATTTTTCCCCTGTGTTGGTGGCGGCATTAATATAAGTTAAAACTTGAGTGTGTCGTCACCACGTCTGGTGATTACATGTTGGAATTAAAAAAAAAATGTACACAGTGGACTATATCTAAATCCGTTCACCACGTCATTGGAGAATAGCATAAATACAGACAAGTTGTTACCTAAAGAAACATTTGGAGTTTGCATTCTGTTCCCAGTCTGTACAGGATCATTGTTAAAAATCTGGCGACGTATAAATGTAATGAATATTAGAAGTTCGAGGTAAGCGTCGTATATGTCATGTATGAACGTATGTAACGTTATGTATTGCCACAAAAGAATCAGCACAAAAGGCATGTAGTAGTCAATGTGCACATTGTTTCTTTCTTCGTTTGCTTAGGAAGAGAAGAAATTATATCAAGTTTTGAACAGTCCTTCTGTATACAGTGGCTGGTATAGCTTGGCTAGTTTTACGCTTGTACGTGTAAGCTACTAGTATCATATAAAGCTATACAGGTTCGTCACATTTGTTGTGGGTCGTGGTACGATTTTAATGTCATAGGCTTGTGATTTCCGAATAGCCTGTGACAGAATCAACCACGGACAGAGATCTAAGACAGACTTTTCTGTGACGCCCATGTCACACATTTACAAATTTGTCCTCCCAAACGCCCGCCGAACGCCTGCCGACCATGGTTAGGAATCGGTTGGCTGGCGTTTGGCTGGGTCGGCCGAACGTTTCAAAATATTCAAAACATTTTATTCGTGGAGCGACAAGCTAACCATCAGTGTAAATAAGTCAGCAGTGTTCGGGGTGTGTTCAGGTATCAAATTTGACTCATATTTAATTCAAATTTGTTTCGAGTCATATGCAAAGGTAGCCTCTACCAGGCTTGGAGAGGTGGCTGGAAAGAGTAGAAATCGGCCAAATAGAGAGATAAGCATGGCAAGGCCAAGGGAGTTTGTCCGTTGAGAGAGAGCGGTGAAATGTTCTCTCAACGGACAAACTTACTTGCCATGCTTATCTCTCTATTTGGCCGATTTCTACTCTTTCCAGCCACCTCTTCAAGCCTGGTAGAGGCTAATGCAAAAGGTACGTGGCCTAAATCTGATCAAAGTGCTCCCGAACACTAGCCGACCTGTTTGTGCTCGGGAACGAATTCGTCAGACGTTCGTAAATGTGACGAACAGCTGAATGTTCTTACGATACATGCACCATATCAAAATAGGACTCAATTATTGAAAAGTAAACCTTCTCCATTGGTACATGGTCCACACCAGAAACCTAGTAACTCACCCAGACACAGACACATAACAGTTGAACCCATACAAAACTCAAAGAGGTTAAAATTCACAGTAAAGATTAACAAACGTCAATGAGGAAAATAGTTGTTCGTGGGGGTGACTAGTGCATTATGGACACACGGTGTGTAGGTACAGTATATAGGGGTAGGCCAGGTGCCAAGAAACATTAGAAGGGTATCATGTAACCGCTTCAGTATCCTGAATAGCCCTGAATCATTTGTCATTGTGTCGCTCCTGGGTGAAACGTGGTCTTTGTGTGCCCATGTGAGGGACTTGACAGCATACAGGGTAACGTGATGAGTGGACCACAATTAAGTGTAAACAACACGACACTTACTTATACACTCAAAGACTTAAGAAAAATATAAGAAAGTCGGCAAATTCATGCCCGAGCCGAGGGCTAATTGCAAGACCTACCTACCTACCTACCACTCCACCGCATGTCAGCTACTGCTGAGGCGGGCCATCATTGTTCTCAATTGCAAGACCATGATAACAACAATAAACAGTAAAAATGATGATAAGTAATGCTGATGCTACTTTAGATATAAATTAAGTAGTTATTGTTGGGTTTGAAAGACTTAAGATGTAAGGCAGGGATATAATAGCCCAGGGCTAATGAACGGAGATGGGCGCCGCCCTATGCGTCACTGGACGCGGGAAGGCTCTTTAACTTTAACTTTAAATGAGGGAGAGAGAGAGGGAGTTATCGTTTTTGTTCACACAGCGATTTTTAAAGTCTAGGATTCTTGATAACCCTTATGCTCCTAGTAATATTTTAAAATGATTTGATGCCTTAACCAGGTCAAAGACCTTTGTTATCTTTGGTCCTGCGGTGGCATAGTTACTTTCGCATTCGTTGCGTTTCGATGCGGTGTGATGCGTTGCACGAGAAATACCCCCAAATCGTACAATATATATAGAATACAACACATGGTATTCCGTATCGCCCGAGGTACCAGCCCGACCGCGCGGTGGGTGGTGGACACCGAGGGTGATGTGGAATACACCGTGCTGTATTTTATTTATGTCATACCCACCCAAGAAAACACGCCTTTCTATGTGAAATGAGCGAAAATTTGGTGTCCCTAAACAAAAAAAACAACAACAACAACAAAAAATGTGGGGTCGTGTGGCGTAGCGGCAGAGTGCACGACTCGGGACCTAGAGGTCCTTGGTTCGAGTCCTGACATGCCACCGATCTTGTGCCCTTGGGAAAGGCACTTTACACGACTTTCCTCACTTCGCTCAGGTGAAAATGAGTATTGTCCTGTCATGTATGTGTCCCCTGTGTTGGTGGCGGCATTGATATAAATTGACAAAACTTCAGTGTGCCGTCACCACGTCTGGTGATTACATGTTAGAATAAAAAAAAAATGCAACAACATCAACTCCAACGTCCGAATTTTGTATTTGAATTTTCGAAAGAGGTGCACGCAGTTAAGGCGCAACGCGTTCGAATCGTTCTATGGAACATTTGGAAGGCCCGGGCCGTACGCGTAAAGAACCCCCGGGCCGTACCGCTAGTTATCACACGGGCCGGAACACCTGTATCGAACGTAATCGCGGCCCAGGTAGGACATAAAGATGGTTACTGTATGTTCAGCCCATATACATGCAAAGGTTTTAAAACAGTTCCCTTTGCAGTCCCACGGGCAGTGTGTGCACTCGGCAGGAGACTTACCTTGCGAGCTACCAGATAGAAGAGCGAAGAAGAAGACAGCCTGCTACTGATGTGTGGACGTATGTCAGCGAGATATTTACTAACAGGTAGTATTCAATCCCTCTTGTTTTCTTGAAGATAAGCTGCCCAATAACATAGTGTCCGTATCATAATAGTAAAAACACAACAACTAAGTGTAATGTGAAGTGGCCTGTTTTCCGGATCCTGTCGTTGTTGTCAAGTCATTAGAATACTCCCAAGTACCATTAAAATAGCGTTTGCGATGTAATTAATATAGACCTTGTATTAACACAAGAAAATTACGGCGACTTTCGTAAGGTCTGAGACTAGGCATGCAGAGAGACAAAAGAATTAAGTGGGTACAAAAGAATTAAGCTGCGTACAAGACTATAGATGAATCAACTTGAACTACTTGTTCTAAGGTCTAAACATTGTACCTGCTATAAATGTAGTGCAATAAAATTCTTCTCTGAAGTTCTTCCAAGACATGATAGGGCAAACTACCCGAGAATGTGAAAAGTAAACGTTATGCGTCTTAGAAAGAGTTATATCCAGTTTGTTACAATTACAGGCATGGAAAAGTCCGCAGAGGTATTCAGACCCTGTACGAGACACGCTACGAAACAATCGAGGAATGTTGCCAAGGATGGGTCCCCGTGGGGAATATCTGCACAGGTAACAAGATACTTAATTCCTGTCTGTAGAAATGTGTCCACTGTCGTACAGTAGTGATTAGCTCCTGTCAAATTCACTACCCCATATCAAGCTTACTAGCTTTGGTAAGTCAAGCCTGCTGCAGTGTTTTTTGTCTCTTGATTTAGGGAGTGGAACCTTCGGTCTATTATATTTACATGTTGCACCTAGAAATGACATTGAATTTCTTGCTATAATTTTTAATACATTCCGTTGAACGGTTTGGAATTGATATGGAAACTAGAGTTCCACGATCTCATACCTTCGCCAAATGATAATCATTATTACAAAGTAAGATTATTCCTCCTGCTTATGCACATAGGGCCTCATTTGCATGAATTAAAGCAGTTGATCATATTCTTCACCAAAAGACAGCCTTATCTTAACAAAGAAAGCAATTCTATCATTTCCTCATAAATTATGCAAATGAGGTCCTTATTAAAAAAAACAAAAACTGAAAGCAGTGGGATATCCAGAACAACTACGGACGATAGTGGAAAACAAATTCTACATTTTGATTACAACGTTTACGAAATTATAGCAACATTATTAAAAAAATCAAAGTCTCAGATGTTTCAACAGGAACACAACTGCGTCATGTAATCTGTATCTTGCTGTATTCTGCCTGTTCACTTTCACTTATCTTTCAAATACCCCAAGTATGAAATTCCAGGCATTTTCCCATTGATTATGCAAATTAAGTGTTAATTTACATAATCAATATCTGCCTGCATTTCTCTCGTTCTCAAGTACATATGTCACGAGCTCAATAGTCCTATAATGTAATGCAGCTAATTTATAGAATTTCCTCATAAATAATGCAAATCCGTCGATGCCTTAACCGGTTCTTCAGTTATCATGTTTTGAATATTTTTGAAGAAACGCCCCTGCAGTTCCTGGGCAAGCCGCTACCTACATCACTTCTTCCCCAGTACAAGACCTACCTTCTATTCGAATTTTGTGATATCAAAACCGGAAGTTCCGCTCCATTACCACAAGCCAGGGGGCCCAAAATCTAATCATTTCTAGCTCTCATAAAGACCTACCCACCTACCAAGTTTCATGACAATGCATATTAAGCTTCTTGAGTTATGCTGTTCACAGACAGACAAACAGACGGACAACTACTAAAAACATAACCTTCTTGGCGAAGGTAATAAACTCGATACCTTGTGTAGCACGATCATAAAGGCGGCATGACCGCGAGCTCCAATATTAAAAAAAAAACCTTAAAGCAGTGGGATATCCAGAACAACTACGGACGATAGTGGAAAACAAATTCTACATTTTGATCACAAAGTTTACGAAATTATAGCAACATTATTAAAAAAATTCAAAGTCTCAGATGTTTCAACAGGAACACAACTGCGTCATGTAATCTGTATCTTGTTGTATTCTGCCTGTTCTCACATTCAGTCAAGTAGCATCAAATAGTCGTTTATTCTCCAGTCTGAAAAACGGTGTGTTTGAGGCCGCAGAACACAGTATTGATGGGCGACCCCCGGGTCTATGACGCGGGTATAGAAAGTAGTGCAGACAAACCTCTTGCATCCTGGCTAAAGCGACTTATGTGAGAGGTAGCCATGATTAAACCATGCTGTGTGGTATGGAAAGGTATCGGCTTGTACACCGTATGATTTGAATTGTGAATATTTCCTTCTTCGTGTATAAATGCACGGCATTACGCAACCGCTTTCCGGAATGAGCCGGCTGCAGTTCCGTTTACCCCGGTAGAGGGCCAAATCAAAGTGGTCGTCATTATGTTAAAAAACGATAAACCTTTTTTGGTTTTCAGCTATTTCGTACAATATACCGTATATTTCAACATATTAGTTGGCCGTGATTCTCTAGTGCACCCTACTATAATTTTTACCGCGTCGAAGTGAGTCACCTCGGGGTGCTTAACTATAGGAATCCCCATAGGGTTAAAACTGCTACCTTGAGAGATGTTTACTGCCGCCCCCAAGGTTTGTTTGTTTGTTTGTACAATTTAGATAAACAAGAGTGAATTTTCCTGAGGGATGATACATTGAAGACACGTTATGTTTGTAGTCGCTACGTACAGTTTGATACACGGATTGCATATTTACTTAATGGTCTGGAGCCGCTTGAAACACAGAGGAGGCAACCCTTAATGATTTCCCCGGAATTTCTTTGAAGAAGGGAAAACAGCGATGAAGTCTTAAATATTGAAAGCTACCTCTTCGGTGTAAACATGTTTTAAATTGTCAACTACCTACTGCTCACGTACACAGCCATGACCTTTTTCGTTCTTAACTTTCTTGGTTATTTTACTATCAAACTCTCTCGAGCTCATATTTTCAGCCATATATTTTAGAAATGGTGTTATTTAGCATAAAGATAATTACATGGGGTAGGCAATGTATGGGGCTCTCCCCAAGCCTGGTAGAGGCTATCATACATTGGCATCATAGGGCCAATCATTTCCTCTGAGCTACCTATAGTTCCCCGCGTCTCCCATAATGTAGTGAGTCTAAAAAAAGTCTACGGAACTATCACTGTACACAACTCTAGTTTCAAAAGTAATGTCATACATAATTTGGCACGTGTTATCTTCTCGCTTCTAGTTCTTTTCTCGCTTCTCGCATCCTTTTGAGCTGACGTATTGGAGCTGAGAGTTATCACTGCCACTGTACAGAATTCAAGTTGGAGTTTAGATAAACAAAACTGAATCTTCTAGGAGATGCTGTATTGGAGATCTAATTTAATAGACACGCCATGTTTGTGGGCGTTACGTGTTGTACACCACACGTATAGAATATTCTCTAAGTTAACCACTTAATAGTCTGCAGCTGGCAGCCACACAGGGGAGGCAATCTTCAATGATTTCCCCCGAATTTCTTTGAAGAAGGAAAAATGGCGACAAAGTATTGAATATTCAAGCTTGTCACGAGTTGGAGTAAACGTATTTAAATTATCAACAGGCTACTTGGCACGTTTGATCTTTTCGCTTCTAGTTGTTCTTTTTAAAGGCCTGGGACCTGAAAGTTATCACTGTTCAAAACTCTGTAGCTAGCTAGAATGGGAGGAATTTTTTTTTTGGAGATGATGCATTTGAAAGTCTGTCTAGACACATTATGTTTGCCAAAGTTACGTCCTTTATATTATACGTGTTGAAAATTCACTAAAATTAACCACTCACTAGCCAGCAACACAAAAGAGGCAATCTTCAATGATTTCCCCAGAATTTAATTGAAGAAGGGAAAACAGTGATCTAGTGGATTGAAGGGTAATCTTTGACCTGACTTAGTGTTGGAAGAATTGATGGCTAACCTTTGACCTGACTTAAGGTTGGACGGATTGATGGCTAATCTTTGACCTGACTTAAGGTTGGACGGATTGATGGCTAATCTTTGACCTGACTTAAGGTTGGACGGATTGATGGCTAACCTTTGACGACTTAGTGTTGGACGGATTGATGGCTAACCTTTGACCTGACTTAGTGTTGGGCGGATTGATGGCTAACCTTTGACGACTTAGTGTTGGACGGATTGATGGCTAACCTTTGACATGACTTAGTGTTGGGCGGATTGATGGCTAACCTTTGACCTGACTTAGTTTTAGATGGATTGATGGCCAACCTTTGACCTGACTTAGTGTTGGGCGGATTGATGGCTAACCTTTGACCTGACTTAGTGTTGGGCGGATTGATGGCTAACCTTTGACCTGACTTAGTTTTAGATGGATTGATGGCAAACCTTTGACCTGACTTAGTGTTGGGCGGATTGATGGCTAATCTTTGACCTGACTTAGTGTTGGACGGTCCAAAAATTTTTGTGGGAAGATCTGGATTGAACTGCTGTTTCCTTAACTGCTGTCTAGATGTTCATCAATTAATAAAACCGGGAGCCACAATGTCGAGTCATAGTTAGACCATTGTATTGTTCACCAATATCAATGATAATGATACAACAGTCAGAACTATCAGTTCTTAATTGGCAAGATTGTCAACACACAAAATACTTCCCTACAACACTCAGAAAATGTCTCATTGTAGACTTGAACGTCTTTCTCATACTTTCCAGGACAGCAAGGCATTTAGGAACAAAATTCTTCATCTTCATCATTATAGGAACCTTTCTAGATATGAATGCATTAGTACTACATAATATACATCAACCAGTTTATAAACATATTACAGAAGTCACTTTTTGTTGCACGTTTGCCTCACCTGTACAAAACATACAAAATTTGGTAGGGCAACAGAAAGTCATCTATGATTAAAATGTAGTCTGTGTAACATAATCACAAGATGAACCTTTGTCAAGTTACGTTAAATAATTATAATAGCTCCAGCTTTCCTCATGTTCTGATGTTTCCACAACAACTGAAATGAACAGAAAAGCTTTACAACGGCAGGTCTAAAGGAGAATCGAGCCCAAGTCTTTCTAGACTTGGAACATACAATCATACAATACATGTATAAAGCTTACAAAACTATATACAGTTTTTCAAACGTCAAAACAGAATCGTCGTCCATAATCATAGTCCTATTCCATGCCAGGTTTGGTCTCCAATCCTTGTTGTAAGCTACAGATGACAGTCTCTCTTTTATCAAATGTCTGGAACCAGATGTTTGTCTGTCAGTGTTACAAGACTTGTACACTATTGATAGAAATATGTCCGTATGATAATGTTAAGACAATTAAACATTAGGATATATTTTCACGTATTAACATGCTTGATGTTCTGTCCCACAATAAGGCTTAAGCGTTGTTGTATGTGGTACAGGTGAAACATAGGGCCAAAAAAGTTCTAACAAGGTCTCAGGTGGTAGAAAGTTTTGTATCCTTTGGGGGAATTTTAGTAACATTTTTTTCCATGATCAGGTGCGTCGGGTTTCTGCCGGCACGTTAGAGTTGACGTACGTGTGAATCCGTGGAAGTGGATCCGGAATTCTCTCTGCCTGAGGCATGTCCGAGTCTTGTGGATGTGCTGAGACGTTAGAGTTGACGTAGTTG